TTTTTTTTTAATAACTCGGCTCGCCCAAACGATGTATTAGATAAATTAGAGGTGTGTGTACATTTCGCCCAAATGATGTATATAAATTCGCCCAAACGATATGTTATTTTGGGTTATTCGCCCAAATGAAAGCCGCCCAATAAGGATGTATACAACGTACCTATATTAAATTTAGGTTTTAACAAGATAAAGATATTATCATTGGCGCATCTAGGAGGGTGCTTTGGGTCCTTAGCAACCTCTAAGTTAAAATAATTAGCAGTTAGAGAATTTTTTTTTTAAATTAGGTCCTTTAAGTTACAAAATACCCTGGAAATTAAACACCCCCTTGTTCACATGTCTAATTCCACCGATAGATATCAAAATGTACAGCATTGCCTAATTTTATTTCATAATTCGTTTCAACATGAATAAGCAAATGTATCCACACTCCTATCAAGGGTCAATTTTAGTCTATTAAGACCTATATTTTAACTTTTAAATTTTAAGCAATCGATTTTTAAGCCACGCATTATATTATCGTAATATTATTTATTACCTACCTATCATTATATTGTATTCTCTGCAGTAACACACGTTGTATATTATAACTACATAGTTTTCTTTTAGGCTGGGCATGGAACCTAAGGTTCTGGCTTCCGTCATCAACACGAGCACAGGAAGATGTTGGGCATCCGAAATCAATAACCCCGTGCCTGGAGCCATCGAGAAGCAGATTCCCAGTAACAACGATTATTTGGTACGAATCACAGCGCCTAAGCGTCTTAAATTACTCATTCAGATTCTTTGCATAACATTCTTTTCTAAATTTGGTCTGTGATATTTTTGATCGGACCAAAAACATCAAACTGAACGAAATCATTCACCCAAATACTTAATAATACTTTCTCACGATCGTATTCTATTTTATAACCCAATGGCGCCGTACGGGTATACAACCTACAAATCACCAGTTCAAATCAGTTCTATCGGCTATCTCCGTGACTCAGTGATAGCCTAAAAATTTAATAGACAATGTCTTGATAGGTAGATAGGTCATAAGAAGGTACTGACAAAATATTATAATATAGTTTTAATTTTAACATATATATATATATATAATTTATCAAGCAAAAATTAAAATTTTATACCAGCTGTGAAGACATGACTATCGGAGTGTTATAATATCTATACTGTAAAATTTACCAGTATAATTTACGATTCTCAAACACCATAACCGTAAAACTTGTAATAGGTAGATTTTATACGCTGATGGTTATCTACGGTTCTTACAAAAAATTCAGAAATTGTTCTTTAATAATTGTAATATTTTTTTATTTCGAACAATATTAAATTATATAATTTAATAACAACATTAATATTATTTGATCATTAATAAATATATAATTACTGTAAAAAAAA